TTATTTGATAACTGTGATGGATATATCCATCAAGCATGATTAGTCAATCATGACTAATATTTATATCATCCATGATTAGTAAACAACAAAAGAGTGAGCAGCTCAAATATATGTTTTAAAGTCGATAGAATTCATAAGTGCGAGGGTGATGCAACATCACATGTACACAAATGTTTCCATCACTTTTTACATATTGCCCTTAAGAAAGTGATGGGAGCTTTGTTCTACGCAATGATGGGTATATTCTCAGTAATGACAGTCAATTGACCGGTCAAATGACTGTCACTGTTCTTATAGGGCTATAATACTTGTCGTCAGATACCTGTATATACTATAAATAAATTTCATTTTTATGGGCATTATCAAATTTTTGTTCATAATTATTTTATAAGTTCCTTTTGGCGATTACAAAACTTGATGTTTTATAGGAATTTTTATGGAATCATTTCGAATACTTATTTTATTTTAACATTTCTCAAGGTTTGTTTATTCCTCATTCCGAGGAAGAACTATCAGTAAATTATGAAAAATATCGTGAATTATTATAAATAAAATAAATTTGTGTTTTCCCTATATTTTCGTAGTCCTCTCGATTTAAATCGCTAACTGACTGATTCATCATCGCACAGCCTAAACGATTTTAGCTAAAGAGCTTAAATTTGGACAGGAGGTTGGTCTCCCACCAAATAGATCCACTAAGACGGGATTTTTGGAAATTCGAATGATTAGGGGGTTAAAAATGGTAAAAACAGGTAAATTCGGTAACCTCATATCTCCTAAACTATAAAAGATATAAAAGATTAATTTAAAAAATAAGCGGACAGGTGTCTGGTACTTTTTTCAAATTCGGCCCCTTTGGGGAATAAACGGGTAGAAACTGTAATTTGGTACTTCTTTTGCACCCCATGTATCTTTTAAACCAGAGAACATTCAAAAAATATTTTTGAATCCTTCATAACTTGACGAACAAATAAAAATATGAATTTAGTACTTTTTGGATATTCGGACGTTTAAGGGGTGAAAATTGTACCTATTTTTAGTACTTTTTTTTATAAAACATTGTTTTTTGGTTTATTAACTTATACATATGAATACATAATAACGGGCTCCCAATAGATGTTGCAACTGGTACTTTTTTGACTTAGAATTTAGAAACATGTAATTAAGCACTTGAGAATCTATAAAACTGGACTTTTTGGTACTTTTTAGTTCTTCAAAAGGTACTTTTTGAGTGTTCTATTAAATTGAACATAGAAACATGAAATTATGCACGTAGAGCCTGGAGTAAATGAGAATCTATAAAATGGCACTTTTTGGTACTTTTTCGTTCTTTGACTGGTACTTTTTGAGCTTGCTACAAAATTTGAACCTCGAAACATGAAATTAAGCACTTAGAGCCTGGAGTAAATGAGAATCTATAAAATGGGAACTTTATCGTACTTCGACTGGTACTTTTTGAGTTTTCCATAAAATTAAACCTAGAAACATAAAAATAAATATGTAGAGCCCGGAGTAAATTATAATCTAAAAAAAGGGACTTTTTAGTACTTTTTCGTTTTTCGACTGGTACTTTTTGAATTTTTTATAATATTGAACCTAGAAAAATTAAATTAAGAATGTGCAGCCCGGATTAAGTGATAACATTTAAAAGGGGACTTTTTGGTACTTTTTCGTTTTTCGACTGGTACTTTTTGAATTTTTTATAATATTGAACCTAGAAACATGAAATTAGGAATGTACAGCCCGGATTAAGTGATAACATATAAAAGGGGACTTTTTGGAACTTTTTCGTTCTTCAACTGGTTCTATTTGAATTTTCTATTATAATGAACCTAAAAACATAAAACTAAGCAATCAGGGACTTGAGTGAATGAAAATTTAAACTGGAGTATTTCTGGTAATTTTTCGTTCTTTAACTGGTACTTTTTGAATTTTCTAAAATATTGAATATATAAACATAAAATTAAACTCGCAGTATCCTAATTGAACGAAAATTTATCTTGCTTACGTCCATTTTGCAAAAATGGCTCGATATCAATCGAAATTTCTATAGGCCATAATTGACCCTGCCCCCTTCAATAATTGATTTTAACGTTTTTTACGTACTTAATAATACCATAATAAAACAATTTTTGTTGGAACGAAAATATGTAATGCAAATATGTATATGAAATCTTCTTGAGAAAATGACTTAAACGCACATAAATGGATTTCAAATGTCGATGTCGACGAAAAAAACATTTTTAGAAACCGAAAAATAAAGTTATGAGGATCGGTCCGCCAATATAACCCTCTTACAGAAAATCAGTTTATAGCTAATACATCATTCCAAAAGTTATCATTATGATAGAATTATAGTAGAATTAAAAAAAATACTTTAAATTATATATATTATTGATCCAAATCCACATTTAAGTCCCTAATCCGAAAAACACGGTGACTTTCTTATTAATCTAATGATCGGACCACTTCCGAAATTTGCTTTTTTACGACATATGATTTGCCGAATATAACTCTTACTTCTTACTTATTTTAATCATAAATTACCGCTAAAATAGGATTAGTCTGCCTTTAGAGTTGCGAGTTTTCATACATTCTAATAATGTTTTCAAAGTTTCAAACTTTTGGAATATTTTTCAATCTCTTTGTGATCCCTTTAAATGATGTTGTTCTGGAAGAACTTTAACATCCATGTAAACATTTTGGGTAATAAATTGGGGGACTACCAATGAGGGGAGCGGAACCTCCCATATGAATTAAATACAAAAATTCGTTTATCTGGGAAACTAATATAACTAAATTCTTCAAATTTTGCACGAACAGCTTTAATATTCATCTGAACATTTTGGAGAAAAAAGGGCGGACTTTCATCTGGGGGGCTTGGAGCTCCCATATGAATTAAATAGACAAATTCGTATATCTGAGAAACTATTAGAGCTAGAATCTTCAAATTTTACTGAAGAACATTTAGAGAATAACGGGCGGTCTTTCAATGGGGGGCTTGGCACTTCCCATATGAATTAAATACAAAATTTTGTATATCTGGAAACTATTAGATTATTCAAATTTTTCATAGATTAAATTAAAATCTTAATTAACGTTCGGAATAATTGGCGAAATTGCAATAATTTGCGTGGAATCTCCCATATGTAACAAATTGTATATCTGGAAAACCATTGTAGTTAGAATCATCAAAATTGTTAAGTAGGTTTCTTATTTATATTGCTTTTAGGGTAGCACAGCACACTGGGTATAGCTAGTAAATAAACAAATAAAATATCTTTGTTTTTACGTTATTGATCATTTTCTTAATGCAAAATTTTTTAGAAACTGATTTTCTGCAAGATGTTTTATATGGAGAACTTGGAGAAAGGATTTGTTTTTAATTTTTAAGAATTTTTTATTCATCCCTGCATAATTTCTCATACAACTTTTGAGTTTGCTCTGTTTTGTTGTTATAAACAATATATTTGCTTCCAAAATCCTACTTTCTGATCTCTCGGATTCCGTTTTTATTTAAAATCGTTGAAAAATTAAAAACTAAACGTAGTTGAAAACTTAGCCGGCTTACAGTCGATTTTAAGCCGCCGCCGACATATTTAGTGTCAGTCGCCGCCGCCGTTAATATTTGTCGGCGCAGGGCTCTGGCGTTAGGTTTTTCATAACACTTGACAATATTTTTGGAAATTCTTAAAATTTTCTGTGAAAATAATATTAATTGTTTATAGTAGCCATTTAATTCCATAAAATGAATATTGCTCCACTATCACCAGCTAGTGGCATTGGCCGCTTTTACAAAAGATCTGCAAAAATTATACGTTTTGTAAGACAAGGCTGCACAAACCGGCCATTCTATCACATTGTGGTTATGGAGGTAACAAATTTTGATGAATTATTTTTATTAAAAAGATAATTACAATTATTTCCTATTTATAGCGTCGTAAAAATCAACATCAACCCGTTATAGAACAAGTTGGTACCTATGATCCCATGCCTAATGAGCACAACGAACGTTTGGTATCGTTTAATTTTGAACGTATCCGCTTCTGGTTGGGCAACGGTGCTCATATGTCAACACCAGCCGCTGAGCTTTTGGGCATAGCTGGTCTCTTGCCCATCCACCCACGCACTTATATGACAGCCTGGCGTAATCGCCAAAAAGCAGCTGCCGGCGAGGGCAATAGTGAAGGAGCCGAAGGTCCAGTTAAAATGGAAAATTAGATGTTTTGTTTTCAACATAAGTATAAGTTTTCTTTCTTAGATAATTATTGTTTAACAAAATTTGTTAAAAAAAAAATAAACTACAAGTTCAATATGTTTTTAAAATTATGAAATTTCTAGTGAATATTAGGATATAAATACCTAATTAGTTGGATGTGTGAGTGGAGAGCAAGTAAAAATGTTGTTGCTGCTAACAAAAGACCAACTATAGCTCATGGTGGTAATACCTTAATATTCGAAAAGATGTTGTATTTGGCCAAAAGCGAGGTTGGGAGTAAGTTAAATTTTTATAGACAATTTTCCCAACTTTTTAATTTTTATAGAGAATTTTCTCAGAATTCTTTTTTATGGGAAATTTTCGTAAAATTCTCTTTTTTATGGAAAATATTTGAAAACAGTAAATTTTTATCGGAAATTTTTACTAAATTCTCTTTTTTATAGGATATTTTCACAAAATTGTCCTTGTATAGGATATTTACAAAATTCCCTCTGTATGGGAAATTGTTTACAAAACTCCCTTTCTAAAAGTGAAAACGCATTATAGATTTAATTTTTAACATTATTAGATGATTTTATTTAACAATTATTTCTGTTCTTTTTTTTTCGTTTTATTTAATTTAAAAATTCTTGTTTTTCTTCTCGAACATACTCTATTATAATAATAATATGTTGGCAAATTAAAAATATATATATTTTTATAATTAAATTAAAAAAAAAATTAAATCATAGAAGTCCTTTTTTTCAGAAACTTGCAAAATTTAAAAATATACTCAAGTATACAATTCTAATTTAGGTTTTTAATCACGAAGACACATTATATAATTAAAAAATAAATAACACTAAGATGTTTTTTTGTTCCGAACAAATTGTGTGCTCCTTGTGAAGTCGCCGTCACCTACATGACCACCACCACCAAAGATTAAAGAAAAGGAAAACATCACTTTCTTGTTGTTGCTGTTTTCGAGATGTTTTTTTTTTAATGTTTAAATTTAGTTTTTTAATTGTGGAAATGCTTCTTAACTATGTTTGTTGTTGGACTTAAGAGATGCGTGTGTGAGAGTGTGTGGTTGTGTTTATGTGAGAGACACACATAATTAATCAGATTTCAAAACTGAGCTAATATTTTTCTTGGCTTGACCAATAACATTATCTAACGCAGTGTCAACAGCTGAAAGAAAAATAACAAAAAATAAAGAGAAATTTATTAAAGAAGTTTATTAAAATATATTTTTTAAGAAGAAAAAAATAAGCAATTAAAAATATTGCCTTACCCCCTTGAAATTTTGAATGGATTTCTTTACAAATATAATGGAAACTTTAAATTTCTTTTAAAATTATGATACCAAATTTCATTCTTTAAATAAAATGATAATAATGAACAAATGCTATTTGTAACATAAATATTTAAGATAAAAACCAACTCACCTTGATGATGTTTAAGGAAATGTGGACGAATGACACGGTTGTAAATGACATAAGAACCATTTTGTTCCATGGGCAACATGCACCAGACCAAGAAAACGCACTAAAAAGTAAAAAATAAAAGATTTACTTGTTTGCCGCTAACAATTAGAGGATTGCCTTTAAGGAAATTTTCCCAAAATTCCCTCTTTTTATATGAAATTATTGAAAATTCCTTGACATTTACTCAAATTTCTCTGAAATATGCGAAAATTCCCTTTTTATAGGGAATTTTTGCAAAATTTCCCTTTTTATAGGAATTTTTCACAAATTTTCCCTTTTTATAGGGAATTTTTACAAAATTTCCCATTTTATAGGGAATTTTTGCAAAAATCCCTTTTTTAAAGGAAATTTTTGCAAAATTCCCTTTTTTAATAAAATTTTTTTGCAAAATTCCCTTTTTTATTGGAAATTTTTGCAAAATTCCCTTTTTTAAAGAAAATTTTTGCAAAATTCCCTTTTTTAAAGAAAATTTTTGCAAAATTCCCTTTTTTATAGGAAATTTTTGCAAAATTCCCTTTTTTATAGAAAATTTTTGCAAAATTCCCTTTTTTTATAGGAAATTTTTGCAAAATTCCCTTTTTTATAGGAAATTTTTGCAAAATTCCCTTTTTTTATAGGAAATTTTTGCAAAATTCCCTTCTTATAGGAAATTTTTGCAAAATTCCCTTCTTATAGGAAATTTTTGAAAAATTCCCTTCTTATAGGAAATTTTTGCAAAATTCCCTTCTTATAGGAAATTTTTGCAAAATTCCCTTCTTATAGGAAATTTTTGCAAAATTCCCTTCTTATAGGAAATTTTTGCAAAATTCCCTTCTTATAGGAAATTTTTACGAAATTCCCTTCTTATAGGAAATTTTTGCAAAATTCCCTTCTTATAGGAAATTTTTGCAAAATTCCCTTCTTATAGGAAATTTTTGCAAAATTCCCTTTTCATAGGAAATTTTTGCAAAATTCCCTTTTGATAGGAAATTTTTGCAAAATTCCCTTTTCATAGGAAATTTTTGCAAAATTCTCTTTTCATAGGAAATTTTTGCAAAATTCCCTTTTCATAGGAAATTTTTGCAAAATTCATATTTTTTTAAGGAAATTTTTGCAAATTCCCTTTTCATAGGAAATTTTTGCAAAATTCCCCTTTCATAAGAAATTTTTGCAAAATTCCCTTTTCATAGGAAATTTTTGCAAAATTCCCTTTTCATAGGATATTTCTCCAAAATTCCCTTTTTATAGGAAATTTTTGCAAAATTCCCTTCTTATAGGAAATTTTTTGCAAAGTTCCCTTTTTATAGGAAATTTTTGCAAAATTCCCTTTTCAGAGGAAATTTTTGCAAAATTCCCTTTTCATAGGAAATTTTTCAAAATTCACTTTTCATAGGAAATTTTTCAAAATTCACTTTTCATAGGATATTTCTTCAAAATTCACTTTTCATAGGATATTTCTCCAAAATTCCCTTTTTATAGGAAATTTTTTAAAATTCACTTTTCATAGGAAATTTTTGCAAAATTCCCTTTTCATAGGAAATTTTTGCAAAATTCACTTTTCTCCACTCCTCTCCAAAATTCCCTTTTTATAGGATATTTCTCCAAAATTCCCTTTATATACGAAATTTTTGCAAAATTCAATTTTTAAAGGAAATTTTTGCAAAATAAATTTTGGCAATTTCCTTTTTTACAGCAAATTTTCTCCAATTTAATTTTTTATTCGGAATTTTTGCAAAATTTCCTTTCTGTAGAAAATTTCGCAAAATTCTATTTAAATTACCTTAATCAACCAGTAGAAGGGTATGACGGAGGTTAAAATGCCTGAGAAATATTCAATGATTGACATAATGCCATAGGTCACCCAATAGGTAAGCCATTTGGTATCATCCAATTTGGTGCTGGACTCAATGGCGTGAATGGAAATGTAGGCTGGATATACAACACCAATAATGTTACATAAAAGTTGAGCTCCATAACCAAAGACCAAATATAAAGCGCAGAAAGCGGCGGCACCTAAAATGGAAAAAAAGGAAAAACATTTAAATTAGTAAATAAAATTTTAAAAATTCGTATATTGTTGAAATAAATTTTTAAATACAACTTATAATTTATTCCAACACTTGACTTTAAGAATTATAACTTTTAAATTATAAGTTTTTTTGAAAGACTTTTTTTATTAAAAAACAATTTTTAAATTTTTTGCCATTTTTTTTAACTAAATTACCATATTGTACTGCGGGATAATCTTTAATAATTTGCACTAATTTTGCCGTTAATTGCTCAAACATTATTCAATATATATCTTTTCTTTTTCTATAAAAATTATTAGATCTTTTAATACAATTTAACAAATTTATTTTATTTTCTTTAAACAGTATATTGCCAACAGTTCAAGATCAAGCTCTAGCACAAATAAAAGTTTATAGAGTAATAATAAAGAAATCAAAAATAAATAAATCCAATGATTATTATATTGTTTATTGTTGTGCTACATACTTTAGTTATTAAAAGCGTAAAAGTTCGTTCGTTTTCGTCGAACCCTTAATAACTTGTGGTTCTTTTGTTAGAGAATAAATATATTTCTAAATTTAAAATTTAGCTCTTGGTCTAATGCAATACATACATAGGAACAAACGTAGCTACGTATGACAACCGTACAGACGACTCATGTAAATGTCATGTACAGTGTTGTGTAATTATTGTAGGTACAAATGTATAAGATAAATATAAAGTTAATTTTATAAATTAGTAAAGTATTAATGAATTGCCACAATTTATTTATATTAACTGTAGTTATGGGTATTTATTTTTATTTTTTTTAAATTGTTTTGGTTTTACAAAATTTTTAGTCACTGTATTTTTAATAATGTCTAATTTGAAAAGGGAAAGGCTTCGAATATTTTGTAATTAATTTTCCTATTTATAACTTTATTGTGATACAAAACATATAGATGTGTTATAGAAAATGATAACTATAACTTCCCTACTGCTTCATATACGTAAGTCCTATATGATGGCCCATGGTTAAGCTTATTGTAAAGCCTGCGCGAAAAGAACATAAAATGCTGGTATCAGCAAATATGGGACACTGTAACATTGGCACTTCTGTTAGAAGATTAGATCTTAAATATAATATCTAATGTCTTAATGGAAAGGAAGAAGAGACGGTGTCTGAAACATATCCTAAAATTTATCATTGAAACTGCGAGTAATACCTATTCAGTAAAGACACCTGTGACAATTAGGGTATCACGATGGGATCAACAATTCTATCTATCTATCTATCTATCTATCTATCTATCTATCTATCTATCTATCTATCTATCTATCTACTATCTGTCTCTCTATCTCGCCATCTATATATCTATCTATCTATCTATCTATCTATCTATCTATCTATCTATCTATCTATCTATCTATCTATCTATCTATCTATCTATCTATCTATCTATCTATCTATCTATCTATCTATCTATCTATCTATCTATCTATCTCTATCTGTCTCTCTATCTCGCCATCCTATCTATCTATCTATCTATCTATCTATCTATCTATCTATCTATCTATCTATCTATCTATCTATCTATCTATCTATCTATCTATCTATCTATCTATCGCCATCTATCTATCTATCTACCTATCTGTCTGTATCTCGCCATCTATCTATCTATCTATCTATCTATCTATCTACCTATCTACTATCTATCTGTCTCCTATCTCCCCATCTATCTATCTATCTATCTATCTATCTATCTATCTATCTATCTATCTATCTATCTGTCTCTCTATCTCGCCATCTATCTATCTATCTATCTATCTATCTATCTATCTATCTATCTATCTATCTATCTATCTATCTATCTATCTATCTATCTATCTATCTATCTATCTATCTATCTATCTACCTATCTGTCTCTCTATCTCCCCATCTATCTATCTATCTATCTATCTATCTATCTATCTATCTATCTATCTGTCTGTCTCTCTTTCTCGCCATCTATCTATCTATCTATCTATCTATCTATCTATTTATCTATCTATCTATCTATCTATCTATCTATCTATCTATCTATCTATCTATCTATCTATCTATCTATCTATCTATCTATCTATCTATCTACCTATCTACTATCTATCTGTCTCTCTATCTTCCCATCTATCTATCTATCTATCTATCTATCTATCTATCTATCTATCTATCTATCTATCTATCTATCTATCTATCTACCTATCTGTCTCTCTATCTCGCCATCTATCTATCTATCTATCTATCTATCTATCTATCTATCTATCTATCTATCTATCTATCTATCTATCTATCTATCTATCTATCTATCTATATATCTATCTATCTATCTATCTATCTATCTATCTATCTATCTATCTATCTATCTATCTATCTATCTATCTATCTATCTATCTACCTATCTCCCCATCTATCTATCTATCTGTCTGTCTCTCTTTCTCGTCATCTATCTATCTATCTACCTATCTATTTATCTATCTATCTATCTATCTATCTATCTATCTATCTATCTATCTATCTACCTATCTATCTATCTATCTATCTATCTATCTATCTATCTATCTATCTATCTATCTATCTATCTATCTATCTATCTATCTATCTATCTACCTATCTATCTCTCTATCTCGCCATATATCTATCTATCTATCTATCTATCTATCTATCTATCTATCTATCTATCTATCTATCTATCTATTTATCTATCTATCTATCTATCTATCTATCTATCTATCTATCTATCTATCTATCTATCTATCTATCTATCTATCTATCTATCTATCTATCTATTTGAAAGAATTTCATTAGGTTTCCTTCTCTGGTCTCATAAAAGCTTCTAAACATAAATATCACATAATAACATGTAAAATTCATGTTTTTCTACAATTTATACAGTTGAGTTCGGTGACTATCAAACACGAACCAAAATGTGTTTTTATTTCGATCTTGTACAGGTAAACAGTTTTTGAACGAACTAATTAATTGAAATTCACTGTCACTTAAAATGTGATTTTAACAAGACTGTTATTGATAATTGATTATGATAAAGTGTAAATAGACATAATAGAACAATTTTTCTAATAATATAAAAAATTATGTGAAAATATAATAAAATTAAAGAAACAAGATTAAAAAAGTTCATTGTTTCCTAATTTAGAATAATGTGAAGTGAATGAAGTAAGTAAAAGCAATTAAGATTAAAATAGATGAAATGGTGAACCAATTTTTAAAAATTTCAAAAAGTACAAATATCATTTTTGTAGAAAATATTGGAAATTTGTTATTTTACATACAAATCATTGAAAAAAAAGTGTGGCAAATGCTTAGCAATTATTTAAAAGTGATAAACAATTATTAAACAATTGGTATCCCTTAACAACAAAATGTTTATTAAAAAAACAAAGTTTTCAAAAATTCTCATTAGTTGTAAAGAAAATTTCTGTGAATTTGCATACAAATTTTGGAGAAAAGTCTAAATTTTTTAAAGTTTGAATCTTATTTATCGCAACAGCTAAAATGGAATTGCCAAGTAAGTTCGATAAAATATAGCATAAAGGATAAATCTACAACCTTAAAAGTTTCTAGTACAAATCTCAAATGAATTGGAAAAACGTATATCAGATGCTTTTTGTATATTTGATCATCATGGTGATAAGACCATCGATGTACGAGAAGTGGGTACGGTATTACGTTTTTTGGGCTGTGTGCCCACTGAACAGGAGATCAATGAAATAATAACTGCTACGGAAACAGAAGATTCTAGTGGTGAAGTACATTTAACAAAATTCTTGCCACATGTAACACAATTGCTGGCAGAACATAAGTATGTATAAAAAATAACCTTTAAAGGAGAGTTGTTTATACATTTCGGTTTATATCATTTAGAATGGAACCTGCTGAACCGGAAAAACTATTAGAAGCTTTTCATGTTTTAGATCCCGAAAATCGTGGCACTCTAACACGAGAATACTTTGGTAAACTAATGATGGAAGAGGGAGAACCTTTTACCCAAGAGGAGTTAGATGAAATGATGGCAGTGGCCATAGATCCTTTAACTGGTCTTATACCGTATGAATTTTATTTAAATCAATTAATGGTAAAGATTTATCTTATTTTATTGCACTTTATTTTCATTTATTTGCACATTTATTTAAGCACCATTCTAATAATTCGATTTATGATATTGCGGATAAAATTAAAGCTGAAGCACAACAAAAAGCTACTAGCACTAGACAATCTATGAGAAAATTTTAAATACTAAACATGATTTTGTAAATATTTTTTTGTAGGTTTATCTTTAAAACGTTGTGAGGAGAGGAAATTTGAAATACAAATTATTATTCAGCGAGAATTTAGCAAAAAGTGGTTTTGTTTAATTTAATGGAAATAGACGATGAAAAGATATATGGAATTCATATATTCAATAATGAAAATACAAAGGCAATTATCGGTCATTAAAATAATTTATAAAAATAACCAGTTTTTAAACGTTTTAAAGTTAAATACAAAGGCAGGGTTGTACAGTTCTCACTTAAGTTTTGTACTATGTATGAAATTTTGAAATTAACTAAAGGTTTTTTCCTAAGCGTTAACTATAAAACGGCCCTCCCTATATCTATCTATATCTATCTATCTATCTATCTATCTATCTATCTATCTATCTATCTATCTATCTATCTATCGATCTATCGAGCGAGCTATCGATCTATCGATCTATCGAGCTATCTATCTATCTATCTATCTAGCTATCTATCTATCTACCTATCTATCTATCTATCTATCGAGTCGATCGAGCGAGCGAGAGAGGAGCGAGAGAGCGATAGCGAGCGAGCGAGGAGCGAGAGCGATGGAGCGAGCGCTAGCGATCGATCGAGCGAGCTCGCTATCTCGCATCGCCAGCGAGCTATCGAGCGACCGAGCGGGGCGAGAGGCGCCAGCGAGCGCGAGCGAGCGAGCGAGCGAGCGAGCGAGCGAGCGAGCGAGCGAGCGAGCGAGCGCGAGCGAGAGCGCGAGCGAGCGAGCGAGCGAGCGCGAGGCGCGAGGGCGCAGCGAGCGAGCGAGCGAGCGAGCGAGCAGCGAGCGGCGACCGAGCGAGCCGAGCGAGCGAGCGAGCGACGAGCGAGCGAGCGAGCGAGCGAGGAGGAGCGAGCGAGCGAGCGAGCGAGAGAGCGAGCGAGCGAGCTAGCGAGCGAGGAGCGAAGCGAGCGAGCGAGCGAGCGAGCGAGCTAGCTAGCGATATAGCGAGCTATCTAGATCTATCTCGATCTATCTATCTATCTATCTACGATCTATCTAGCTAATCTATCTATCTATCTATCTATATATCTATCTATCTATCTATCTATCTATCTATCTATCTATCTATCTATCTATCTATCTATCTATTTATCTATCTACCTATCTATCTATTGTTCGTTTAATGATTTAATAACAACTTTGTTCAGGTTAAGAGAATGAAATCTCTAATGTTTTATTAGTTTTATTTGATCTTTGAACTTTCAATTAATTTGCTTTGAATAAGGCAAAACAATTAGAAAAACTTGTATTTGTAAATACTTATATTGGACAATATACGTAGACTTTTCTTTTGTTTGTTCCTTCCCAGTTGGAAATTGTTTTATTAAAAAATTACCAAATTTATTCAAAGTCTAAGAATTCCGTTTACATATTCAAACCTATTCTAAGTTTCGGGACTTTACTCTAGAAAAAGTATCTCTAAATGTATCATTCTTTGGTTTTTCTAATTCGCTGGCCAACACATTACATTAATAATGACTAATATATAAATACTAATAGAAAAAAGTAAATCACTTTCGAATAATTTTAATTTTATATTTAGTTATTTTTAGTACAACTAAAAAATAATTCTACACTTTACGCAAAAGTAATTCGTAAGATTTGGTTTTAATGGGGTTTTGTATTTTTCTTATAGAAAGCGCAGTTGTGGTTGATTTGTTTAGACAATTACTGCCAACTGCGTTACTTTCTCTATATAGATACTATAGTTAATAGAAACTTAATTAGCAGAAATTACTGCTGATTGGCGTCGCGGCCAAGTGATCAAACCCAGGCCGAAAAATTGTCATGTTAGAAATCTATTAGTTATTATAGAACTTTTTGTTGTCTAGTGTTGTTTATACAGCATTTTTAGCGCACTCACATTTGCAATAAAATATAAAATACGTTTTCAATTGAATTCCACAAGTTCTACCACAAAGAAACAGACAACGTGTAGTTAAAAAAAAACAAGACTTTTACAACAAATACACTACGACAAATTCAGCTAGACAATGATTAGCAAGATTGTAACTTATCAATCAGTTATTGTAATAACAGAAACATTGATGAAATACTTAAGATTAAAACTTACCAATACCAAATTTAACTAAGGCCACATAACGACGATGTTCTCGTTCTTGTAGCTCTTTTCGATGCCATAAATAATCCCAAATCCACATTTGGGCAAACTATATATTCCAATATTAACTAAAAATAAATGCAACTAATTGCTTTTTTTTTGGGTTTTCTTTATGTTTAATCATAAAACAAGTGAAAAAACGTCACAATTTCAATTGTTATAAACAAAAATAGACAACTTGGAGGCAATAGGAACACATCACCGTACAAAAGGCAAAACAAATAAAATAGACAAAAGATTTACACACGCACAAACATACACGCCTGAGTAAGCAAAATTTATACTAAACGTTAAAAAGAAATAAACGAAAAAGATGAAAAATACAACAATTATATCATGAATTTATTATTATGGAGAAAACAACTTTTAGTTTTTGATGTTTTTTTTTTTCCTGTTGTATTACTATTTTGTATAATTTGAGGATTTGTTTTAAATTTATTTGAAAAAAAAAATCGTATTAATGAAGCACAGAAATACACGTTTAATTTGGAAGACCCGTATGAAACTAAGAGCAATTTCTCTTTCATTCTTGGTGTCTTATACGTCGAAATAAAAACGTAAACAAAGAAATATGTTAATAAAAAAACACACTGGAGAGAGCAATGTACTCCATATATAACAGAAAATTATAAAGTATAAAGAAAGAGAAGTGGGTTGGTTGGCTGGCAAATGAGGAAGATACTTTTAAATTATAAACAAAAGGTGATAAAAATTGTGTTTTAATAAAGAGATAAAATGTTTAGACTCAGGTTGATAAGAATGAAAGGCAAACACGATTAATTAACAAAATTAATTAAATGTAATTATTTGTAATAAAGTAAAATTAGGAAGTAGTAAGAGACTGAAAGAAGTTTCTATAAAAGTGAAAATTTATAGAAAATTTTCTATAAACGAGAGAAATGGATTGAATTTTATCTTTTTATTACAAAAAAATATGTAGTTTTGAGTACAAAAACGAGTTTTTAGTGCAAAACGAATTTTTAGTACAAAAA